GTGTGTGTGTCCTGTGATGGACTGCTGTCTTGTCCAGAGTGTGTGTATCCTGTGATGGACTGGTGTCCTGTCCAGAGTGTGTGTGTGTCCTGTGATGGACTAGTGTCTTGTCCAGAGTGTGTGTGTACTGTGATGGACTAGTGCCCTGTCCAGAGTGTGTGTGTGTCCTGTGATGGATTGCTGTCCTGTCCAGGGTGTTACTGTGTCCCGTGATGAAATAGTGTCCTGTCCAGAGTGTGTGTGTCCTACATTGGACATTTATTAGCAGTGACTCCCCCAGTCCAGCAGGGGGCAGTGCAGCACCTGTGTGCTTTTCTAACTGTGTGGTTCTGTGTTTCCTCCACAGCTTAGTGTCTCCAGAGACCCCCAGGCAGAGTCTGACAGCAGCAGCATCTCTCCAGGCACAGGCAGGAGGACTGGGCAGCTCTGGGACTCTGGGAGCTGTGACTCTGGTGCCCTCTGCTGGCCCAGGCTCAGTTTTACAGCCCATTGGAGATGGTACAGTAGTAATAGTTCAGATTTACAGTAGTTCGGGTGGGGAGCTCCGTCAGCACGTGTAGTTTGCAAAGGAAAGAGTTACAGGTTTATTCCATGCTGAAAAGAGAAGAGAGAAAACACAATGTAAGGCTTCACAGCTGAAACGTTTTTTTCACTCTTCTCTTTTCAGCATGGAATAAACCTATTGTTCCGGTTCAGATTTACATTTCTGTTACAGTACAGTAGGTCTCCTAATAGGCAAGCTTTTGCAGATTTTTAGGATTTATTCATAACCTTTGCAACTTTATAATGTGACGTTAAAAGCTGTTAAGATAATTTGCAATAAACTGCTATCTGAGAAAATAAAAGGAGAATATAGCCATAATATAGGAGGTGTAGCGGGCTTTTATTTGAAGATGGAGATAGAGGGAACAGCTCTTCGCACCGCTGCCGTGTTTATAAACCTGATTCATTGACTCTGGGTGTTTGCCGAGATCATCGCTGACAATAAATGGGCTCTCTCTCTCTCTCAGCTCCTGTCTGTTATTGCGACTTCAGTAATTCACCAGACAACTCGAATAACGATCGTAATTAAGGCTTCAAGTTGGATTGAATGAAACAAGACTCGAGGAAATCTGTACTGTAATTCAGAGTTTGTAAGAAGTTGCACTGGGGGAGCAGCAGATAGGGGTGTCACTCTGCGTTCCTGGGTTTGAATCTGGGGTGTCTGTGTGGAGTTTGCATGCTCTTCAGTAGTGTGTGTGTGGGGGGTTTTTGCTTGGTGCTGCAGTTTCCTTCGACATGAGTTAGTATGTCTGAATCGTCTCCTACTTTTTTTGTGGATGTTTTAATGGATAGGTGTCCTGTCTTGGGTGTGCGTGCATGTGTGTCTATGCCCCATAATCACTGATCAGCCAGTGTTGCTGCCTTTGGAAGATGAGAGGCACTAATATACACAACGGGTGGTGGGACAGTATGGCACAAGCTGCCTAGCCCTAATGTTGAAGCTCATACTCTGACGTCTTACAAGAAACAGCTGGATGAGATCCTGCAGTCAGGACAGGAGGCTCTACTTTACACACAGGGTGGTGGGTGTGTGGAACACGCTGCCCAGCCATGTTGTTAGAACTTGATACTCTGACTTCTTACAAGACACAGCTGGATGAGTCCTGCAATCCTGAAGATCCTGCTGGGGGGGAAATCTAAGTGCTCCGGGGTCAGCAGTCCTGCCCAGAACGACCTCCTTCTCACGCCGCTGCGAGCCCTGTGGACTCTGGGTCTGCCAGAGCAGGCTGGAACGCTCGAACCCATTACACACAAAAAGAACTCATGGTGCTGCACCTACACTAACAAAATAAACCACTAAGGCAGTCAGCCGTGCCAGATCCACCACTTCTTATTCAGGAGCACATGGGAGCGTTCCTCTGCAGGACTGTTGGTGATGTCCATGTGTCAGTACTAGCACTGTGTCACTGCTGCGGTGTTCAGTGTGTCAGCAGGAGTGCTGTTGTCGTGCAGCAGTGTTCAGTGTGTCAGC